TCTCTTAATCAGCCTCTCATTGTGCCATTAGCTGAACCTGTAGTCTTAATCAGAGGCTTGGCACAGTCATCATCGCTATCCTCTGCCCTTCTCACCCACCCACACACGCTAAATAAACACATTTTAATGTGACACCAATCATGTCATCTACTCAATGAGCCCCGTCCTCCTCCCTCCCTCATGTAGCCCACAACCCAAACATAACACATGGGACGCCCGTCTCTCCCGTCCGTCAGTCAGCGCCAACACACTGATGGTCTAAATGTGTGTGTGTGTGGCTTTTTGGCATGTATCCCAAGGGGAGGGAGAATTATTTCAACGCAGTAACCTGAATCACCTCATATCCAAAATCTTTGCATGAATACTGTACACACACACACACACGCACACACTTTTTCTCTCTCTCCCTCATGCATGTCAGTGACTGTGTATTGATAATGTCCATTAGCATATTTATGATCATTGCCAGCATCGTATTGTTTGCTCGCTCCATTAATCTTCATCTGCTGCCTCTCGACTGACAGCTCAATCTAACAGGCCATTACTGGGCACTGGGTGCACGCACACACACAAACAAGAATGCATAGTTGTACATAAAGCATACTTGCAACAACAATCGAGGGGCATTGTACCACACACACACACACACACTTTGATTGACATTCACCCCTGTGAGTGTAATCACCGGAGGTTATCCCACCCAGCTGTGCAGGGGTCTGCTCAGCTTCTCCTGCACAGCGCCCGGTGTCGTACCCGCAGGCGAGTGTGAGCTCTGGGCCATAGGTGGGTGATGGTGCCCCTGGATGAGGATGTAGCAGGCTCACCCCGTACATCTGCCTGCACACACACACAAACACACACACACACACACACACACACACACACACACACACACACACACACACACACACACACACACACACACACACAGCTAAAATGCACCATTATGTGTCTTGCCCCCACCCCCCTCACAATTAAAGACCCCAAAAAGCAAAGAAATGAAAATGCAGCAGGTAAGAGTGCTGCAAGAAAACACACGGACTTAAATTGATGTGTGTGTGTGTGTGTGCGTGTGTGTGTGTGTGTGTGTGTGTGTGTGTGTGTGTGTGTGTGTGTGTGTGTGTGTAAGGATGTGATGACAACATCTGTCTGCACATACACAAGTGAACACTGTGGTGTTCACACAAATGTGTTTGTTTAAAGCCAGTGTGAGTGACTTACAGCCGATCACTGGATGAATGAGTGCTGGAAGCTGGCCAAGTTCAATGGGAGGTCTATTCTCCTGTTGCCTCTTCCTCTCTCTTCCTCTCTCTTCCCTCTCCTCCCTCCTCCTCCTCCTCCTCCTCGTACAACACCCTGCTGATCCAGGAAGAGCAACCAGGGAGCCAGGATGTGTGTTTGTGTGTTCAAAATAATGCTTGTCACACAGAGATGAGTGATGTTTCATCCAAACTGGGTTGGGAAAGTGGGAGACAGTGTTTATAAGCCCATTAATTACATTTATTTAGTCTAAACACCTTCATAAATGTAGATTACGTTTAGGATGGACTATTACACAATAACTTAAAGCTTGCGTATAAACGAACAAAAATAGAGATTGTGAGGTTAAAATACAGAAATTTGAACGACCAAAATGTCACTAACCTCTCCCATGGAGCACACCAAAAGAGAGGGGAGAGGTGAAGGGGGAGACACACCTTTATGAGGAGGGGTCTCCCAAAAAGTGGACGTAGGGGTACAGAAACGTTCTAGGAGGCCTAAACGTGTCAGGTAATAACTGATTTTGTGTAATTATAACATTAGATATTGCAATTGCATATGGGACTGCTGTATAATTGGCATTGTTAAACTAACCTGACAGGTCTTTACAGTCATTCAGGAGAGTGTGGTCATCTCAATGGAGGTTGGGGTTAGAGGGGTTTGATCGGAGGCACACGTCCCTGCTGTTGTTCTCGCTTTATCTGTACCAGCAGTTTTTTGCCAGATCATATTTTCGTGTCTAGCGTCCATCCAAATGGCTGTGCTACATTAAAACGTATTATACCAGGTTTGTATGTGGGTTTTAAACACCACCACATACATTATGTTCATTTTTAAGGAGGTGTGGATTTACAATCATTACATATGTTCATCTATGAGTTTGTACAAACATTCCAGATTTGTGCTTTCTCTTGTAAATGCTAATGCGACCAGATGTTTTTGCTGCAAATGAGAGCAGCAGTAAAGCATCTTTACCAGGTAACTTTGACAGAATAAAATAATGTGTGTTGTTCCAGTCCGAGTAGTAAACAGGCAAATTGATGAATGGAAACTTAGGTGATTATTCAATCTCATCAATAAGTTACGTATTCTTTTATCGGAGCAGAGTGCAACCTCCTACTTTCATTTTTATTTACTGTTATCATGTGTTGTTTCTTATCTGACTGCACCCTATCAACGCTGGAGACATTTCCTCATAACTTAACATCTGAAACAAGACTTTTTATTGATAAACCCAGTGTGATTTAAATGACGTCTGCTGAGTGAAATCTATGGTCTCGTTTATCTCTAAGCTTTAAGATGGTTTGAACCAGAAAACACGTAGAGTAGAACGAGTCGTAATACTTCTCTTTCCTGCACCATAAAGCTATTTTTATAGAGGCTATCTATAATATTCCACTATCAGAGATTATACAAGTTTTATTGTGATCTCCCACAAGAGATGAGTTTTATGCAGCTTTAGTAAATCATTCCTTTTCTCCGTGAAACCAGCTCCAACGACTGTTTTGCCTGTGTGAGGGTGAGAGTTGTGCAGTGTTAACATTTATGAGGTGTAAGCTCATATATTTGAATAGTTTATGGAAGCAGTAAAGTGAAAAATACATAATTTGCTAACATGTACCATGTAAAACAGCTCTTAAAGATGAGCTTTGAATACAAATGCAGATTCTTTTTGTTTAAGCATATTCTATCGTTCATGAGCAGAAAAGCTCTTTCTCCTCGATGTACTCTCCATCACAGTACAGAATATATACTGTATATACCATACAACTGCATATTGTTGTTCATTTGATTATTTGTGTACTACTGCACAACATACTCTTCTAAATCTGTCTTTGCAATATTCATACTACATATTTCATATGTTTAGTTTATATATAAAAATATAATATATAACATAGATAATATGATAAAATTCTTGTTGCCCTCCCTGATTTCCATTGATAGAGCAGTAATATATATGGAGACAAAGGTTTGAATCTTGAATCGCAAATGAAATATTATACTGTGTAAAAATACTAAGAAAATATAAATGTAAAGTTTTTTTCCATCTTCATTTATGATTTTATAAACATTTAAGAAATTGACTAAATTGTGTTTTTTGCAAAAGGATAATTCATAATTTGTGTTCTATTATAATTTTGTTTTACTGTGATTGATATTTTTCCTTATTGGACAGTTTATAATATAAAGCAACCAAGCTGATGAATGTAGTAATTTTTTATTAATTTTAAGACTAATTATCAGTAACCTCTTAGAGTAATTTAAATGTTTTATTATATTTATTTATTATAATGTTTATGTTTTCTTGCCCTCGGGCTTCTGATGGTTTTGTTCCTGTTTGAAAAGAATAGTCTTACAAACAATAAAGACAAAATGCTAATATGTATATAAGTATTTATATACTATGCAAATTGACTTCTAACAGTCTTACTTCTTCATCACCCAGTTCATTACATTTAAACCAGTATAACACAGACCATAAACAGCAATGAACACCATCCACTTCTTCCCTTTTGTTTACATTTCATGTACATTTCTGTTTTCAGGGCAACGAGTCCATGACCTGGTTACCGTACAGCAGAGTTCAGATTGATGTATTAAGGCTGCATTTCTCTCATCATCAGCTCCATTTAGCCCATGATTAACTCCCAATCATGAGGCGTGATTAAAAGTCAGAGTAAAAATATTCCATACATATTTAATATTCCACTAACAAGGGAACCAGCTCCCAAACTGCCAACAAAATAGATATACACCCATAACACACACACACACAAACACACACACTTGCACATACATCTCTCCTCTCCTCGCCTGAAAACACACACCTAAACATTCCGAGGCTATCTCCCCCCACACCCCTGTGCTGGCTACGTGGAATTAGAAAACCAACCCCGCGGTCTCATTAATTAATTAAACAGCATGTGCCAGTGGCACCTGGGTACCGGTTATCACTGCCACTCAGACACACCGTGATCTCAATAACCACCACACCACAGGGCACGGAGAGGGAGAGAGAGTGAGAGAGGGGATGGCGAGGGTGGAGGGGCGGAGAGGGGACACAACTTTGAGGTAAAGAGAGGAGAGACTTCACACATCATCTGTCTGTGTAGTTAGTAAAGTGGGACACATTCCCACTGAGCTAATACAGAGCCGTCTGATGAGTGTTTACTGCTGTGTGTTTGTGTTTGTGCATCCCCCCCCCCCACACACACACACACACAGGCTCCTCGGGGCCTTTTTATCATTTGGCTGAGCAGGGACCCTAAATCACTGCAGGAAAGTCCCCCTCATCATCGACTCTTAATGTGTCTGCATGTGGAACATGCTTCTTGCTCTGTTAGCATTTTATATTCTTAAAACTTTCTATAAATAAGTAGTGTGAGCTCCCATTCTTTAATCTTCCTATACACTCTAACACTGTGTAAACAACTTGCATTTCTTCATTCTTTCATTTTCTTTTCTATTCGGCGTACGGTGTCATATTATAAAATTTTATCCTACAGTGTTTCACAAAGGGTTTCGAATGGCAAAAAGCTCAGTTATAATAACTGCCAACCACAAACACCTGTTTAATTCATAATGTTAACTTAAATATGAAAATCACAAACTGTGTTTAAAACAATGGCAGTTTACTTTGGTCATGAAAGGAACAATTAATTGGATTGGGTTTGTTAGCATATTTTTTATGTTGCTGTTTCATAAAAACTATATTAAAGTGGCTGTAAAATATCTTACTCTGAATAATGTGTCGGGACAAATAGATCAGCAATTAATCAATGTCCATTATTGAGTTTGCCGTTCAGTAACAGATCAAACAACCAACAACAGAGCAAATGTCACAGGTGTAAATATATAGAACTGGGATTTTGTGGCCTGAACAGATACTGAATATTAAATTTATTTATTTCAAACTTTAAAATATCCATATCACATAGATAGATAAATTGACAAATCTCTGTGATGTTCCAGACACTAGACCTGCATCTATATCAAATCAAACCAAGGCCATCTGCTCTAATTGGACCTATAGGGACAAATAATTTGCAGCTCTGAAAAACAAGTGGCGTTACTGTCTGTTTCTTTGCATTTCAGCTTTTGGAATTGACTCTGAAGAAATGTCTGAATCAATATGAGATGTGGGAATTGAAAACTCTGAGCAGGTGAGCCACACATTTTAAACAAACTGAGACAAATGGCAGATAAAAATATATTTCTGAACAGGAGATATGACAGAGTGTCTGGTTGAGATTAATAGGTAACGTATTAATCAGAAACATCTACAGTCAAGGCTATCAGTGACAAATGAAGGCATTTTAATTATTACACAACCTGGTCACTGCGTCCTCACAATCTGAAAATGCACTTCAGTCCATTTGGTCCGTTGACTTCCGCCGACAGCAACAACAGATCTGTTGGGAAACTGGAAAAGCATGTTTTCCCAAATGACAAGGCGACAGGTGAGCGTTAAGTAATACATTGTCTACTTTATATTATTAGTCCAGTGGTACCTTCCTACAGTCCTGTAATGTGTGTGTGTTTGCTTGTGTTATTATGTTATTACATACATGTTAATATATATGCAAGAATATACTTTTATTAAATACTGAGTCTATCTATTTTGAGATCCATATTAATCCTGCAGCTCCGCCTTGTTTGCTGAGTATTGATCTCAACAGGTAGTTCTTCAAAAGTCACTCAAATTAAAATACTTTCTTTTTATCCTCTTTATTTTCCTATATCCTTGGCAGCATTTTATTCTCATCTGAATCCAATAAGTAAATGTAGTGGAAATTTAAAGTGCATGTAAAACAGTAAACTGCTCTGACTTCAACCTGTGTCTCTTCAGGTGGATCAAAGTGTGTCCACGGCAGATTATGGAGACTTGATTGAGTTTGTGAACCCGCTGCTGGGATTGTCTCTTTGGGGGGTTTATGTTGGAGAAGGCTTGGTTATCCATTTTGGGGTGGGAGGTAAGAAACTCAAATTACTTTTAAAAAGTAGTATTCTGACAAGTACAATACACCAGTTTTATTTACAGACAGTTCATATTTTTCCCTTCTAGACGAGAACATGACACAAAAAGCCTGCCGCAGCTTTTTTCAGCAAATGGCTCCAAAGTCCAGTGGGGACCGTGTTCTGAAGCAGACCAGAATCTGCAAGCAGCGCATTGAAGATATCAAACTGCCTGTAGGAACTCGAATCAGGGTCAACAACAACAAACACAACCTGATTCCGTCACCACAGGAGATGATGAGATATCGCTCTGACACTTTTCTGCAGCAGGAGTTCAAATACGACCTGATGAACTTCAATAGTGAGCATTTCGCCACATTTGTTCGTTACGGCCACGCCGTGTGCAACCAGGTGAGTTCAGTGACAATGCTAAAGTGATGTGGAAAATGTCTACAACCAGTCAAACTGGAATTCTTTGTGGAACTGCAATGATTAAAAGACTGAAAGAAAACTAAATCAAATGTTATAACAAACTAGGTGTTAACTGATTAATCGTCACAGTAATTTTCAAAAAAATCAAAAAATCCAGGTTTTCAAATGGAATAATTTTCTGTCAATCATGAAAATAATCATATGGTGCATTGTTTTTTTTCTACTTTTTTAGATTCCCTTTAAGAAAAAGAACGAGGCGCATGTGGACACAACTCAGACTCTGCAAATGATAATGCAGCAACGGATGGAGACAGAATCCTCCTCCTGAGGCAAAGTAAATAAAAGAATCCTTCACTGCTACTTTGAGAATGTTTCATTTAACAACTCGAGGAACAAATTAATCTGTGCGTTGCATTAACAATGTTTCTGTCTCTATGCTCACCCACAAAATCCTTAGCAAACTTTATTAAAGGCCAAAAAAACTTGCCGACAAAGCAAAGCCCATAAAAGTCACAAAACTATTTGTCCTCTTGTTTATTAAGACTTCAGGAATGTCAATAAGAGCATTTCTATACAGTAGGAGGGCTGAGGAGGCCAGCGCGCAGACACAATGACCTTCTGCTATTCTCCTTGTTGATAATGACCCAGACACAGGCACACCGCCCATCAGCCAGAACTCTAATAAAGCCAGACACACTGTCATTTTCTAATAACCTCCACACTGCAGCAAGAGTCATGGACAGGCCAGCAACTTGTGAATGCAAGAGGGGAACTAAGCTCTGGGTGGACAGGAAGTAGCAGAAAGCATCCTGTTTATCGATCTGGGACTGTGTGCTGCCTGATGGCACGTAGCTATAACTGCATTCTTCTTCTTCATCATCATCCCCCAAACAGACAAAGACAAAGACTACTGTATAAAGGAAGAAATAACATACACAGTGCAAAAACATTTCAGTCTAACAATCAATCCTTTTGGTACACTCATTTGCTAGGCTCTTGGTTGCCACGCTGCTACACATACACGGTTATACACACACACGTAAACACACTTTCAGGGGTGGTATTTTTCCAGAGATACGGTTGGTAAACTCGTTACTCTTTTCTTAATTAGTATAGAGATTCCATCCTTCTCTCCCTCGCAGCAACCCCTCCAAGGGAATGCTGATTAATTGTCCTCTAATACCCCCTCACCTCCCCGCACATATACACATACATTCTCTGTTAGAAAACATCCGTTTCAAATCTGACGACCCAAGTCGTCTGCAGTGCAATATTGCACTGGTTCTCCCCTGCGTCTCCTCCGACCTTCACATCACTGGCTCAGCCTGACTATGTACCCATACAGCTGGTCTGAGAAGGCCTGAAGAGAGAACTTATCTTGTACCCTCCTCCTCCCAGCTTGTCCCATGTCCCTGCGGAGCTGCGGCTCCCTGACGAGCCTCTCCATGGCCTCGGAGAAGGCTTCAGCCGTAGGCTCGCACAAGAAGCCTGTTTCCCCGTCTGCCACACTCTCCAGGGGCCCCCCAGAATTCACAGCGATAACAGGGCAGCAGCAGTACATGGCCTCCACAGGAACTATACCAAAATGCTCTCTGCTTGGGGTGTAGAGCACGGCCGCGCTGCCCTGGAGCAGTGCCACCTTCAGAGAATCTGAGGGGGAACGCAGGAAAGTGACACAGTCCTTTAAGTGGAGCTGCTCTGCAAGCTCTTTCAGTTCAGTGTAATGTTGAACATTCTCCGTAACTCGGTCATCGTAGCCCCCTGCCACCACCAGGTGAATGCCTGCTCTCTGACTTGGAGGGAGGCTGCTCCTCAGGAAGGCCAGAGCCTCCAGAGCCAGGCCCAGATTCTTCTTTCTCTCATATCTGTTCAGAGAGAGGAAAAGGCACGAGGTCGCCTCGGGGAGCAGCCCCTCCAGGCCTTTTGCTTCAGTGGATGGCTGGTCAAAGGTAAGTGTGTTGAGGGAAGGATAGAGGACATCTGTCTGGACTCCGCTCAGACTATGAAAGGTCTCTCTGAAGATGCCTGCAGTGAACTTGCTGTTTACCAGAATCTAAGAGAAAATACAGAGAGATTAGTTCATAAGGATCTCACATATATCACAGGTTCCTATGAGTTGGAAAGCAGCCTGAGGTCTCTGATTAGCCGTAAGTCTAGACTAAAATTGAAATGTCATTTCATTTCTATCAGGGCCCTGATTTTTTACAACATCCTGCCTGTGGAGATCAAGCTGTATCACACTTTAAATAATCACCTTGGTTTATTCAATATACCTTGTATTTTTATACAAGAGCAAGGGAAAGTAATTCTGAGAAGATCAACTATTGTCTGTTTTAAATGGTTAGTTTGTATTTCTGGCCAGTTAATCACATGCGTGTATGAACTACAGCAACCAAGTGTTGTAATAGAGTGAGACAAAAATCATAGACATAATTTGGAAACTGTCAAACAGTCAAAATTTCAACCAATGTAGTTTTTTTCACATCTTTTTTTCCCAGAAGGCAATTTGTCTCTGTATCCTGCAATTGTTTTTGAAATATTTTGTATAGCGACTATATATTGATGGGATTTTAAACAAACACCTGTAAAATCAGACCATCACATTCTCTTGTATGATCCGGCCTCCCAGCCTCAGCCATTACATACCATGTCAGCCATTCCCGTGGTGCGTTCCTCCAGCCAGTCAATAGGAGCACGGTAAAGCTTCTTTAGAGCCGACCTCCTCTGAGTCAGCAGCTGGTCGGGGAAGTGACAGTAAAACAAAACTTTCTTCCTCTGACGGGAAAGTCTCAACATCGGGATACACACCGAAACCTGAGGTGGAATGAAAGTTGATACTATCAAGTGTTTTCCCAGAAATAATAATTTTCATTTATTTGCTTTGCTCTGTCTCTATGTTAAGAGAATACAACAATAATGTCATTTTCTAAATATGGAGACAAAACAAAAAAAATGAAAATCTAAACTGATTGCTAAACATTTATGATATGTATAATAATGTACATGTTAACAATTGAGAAAGAGATTTAGTAAACATTTTTTCAATTAACTTTACATTAATTTAACTTAAATAAAAGATTTGTCAAGCCCTCAGCTTTAATAACATTTCCTTACCTATCCTTTTAAGTGCATTCTTTCTTTTTGCGATATACCCTTCCAAAATTATATAACATTTAATCAACATTCTAAATTGAAAAATATTAAAAGCACCCAAAGATCATTTTCCTGTTAATGATGTATCTGTCTGTTTCTAAAACATCTCACAATACCACAGAAAAATAAGGTTTGAAACATAATTTCATTGCATATCTCATTTGTTGTAAAAGCTCTTTGTTATTTTTGCGTGAGATGTTTTTTCATTGATTGTATTAACTTAAAGAGTGATGGTTCTTCTTGTCGATCTGTATACATAGGTTTTCTCTGTATGTACTGTATGTGTAAGAGGGTGTTACCTTAGTGCATTTGTGTGAAATACAAAACAGTAAAAAAACAAGGGAGTGTCCACTTCAGGACATGGTGCAGTACGAAGGTGAGGCACTAAGAGACAGACCACTGTGCAACACAAAGGACGCTATTCTCTGAGCAGCAGAGTCAGTTAGGAGAGAAGGCTCAGAAGAATTCAATAAGTCACGAACAAACAGATAGATAGTTGCTGTTTGACACAACTCACCTGATCACAGAAGATGACATCATACTCCACCCCACTGAGGAAGACCAGGTAGAGGGCTACATAGATCATCCTCAGGTAGGCACATAGGGCATGTAGGTAACCAAACACACTGGTGGGAAGCCAGTCACCCACACATACCTATTAGAAAATAAGCAGAAACAATGAAATCATAGCTAAAAGATTCTGTGTTTTACATATGTCATTGTTGAGTATACGCAGTAGGTGTGTGTTTACGCACCACAGGCAGGTCTGGGTCCAGGGTTTCAGAGAAGCAGTGTGTTGGATCATGATGGGCCGTCCAGATCTGAACACTACATCCCTGAGACTTCAGGGCAACAGCAGCATCCACCACCAGTCGCTCTGCTCCACCGATACCCAGGTCTGGATGGACGAACACAACCCGCACCATCCTGCACGCGAGAACGGATCAAATCCATATATTATCCAAAAAATACAATGTTGGTTTGCAGACATGGTTTGAAATTAATTTAAAGTGACAGAAAAGTGGTTGACCATGAGTATCAGCAGGCAGTGCAGTGCAAATAATGTCCAAATCAGGAGTGCAAACTTGTGTTTACAACAGTTGGTACTTAAAGGTCCAGTGTATAAGGGGGACCTTGCAGTCAGCTGCAACATTAAACACCAGATTACACACACTGAACCTTTAAAAGAGTGACTGCGTTAATCTGTGAGATGCACCAAAGAGACATTTAATGTGGCATTAAAACAACTTAAATCGAAAACAAATAACTCACAGATACGAAACAAAAATCATGAATCTACTCTTTGATGCCAACACGGACACATTTCAGAGCTGCACTAATGGCAAACCTAGACATAGTGTGATTTTGCCTATTTTCTCTAACTTTTACATTTCACAACACTTCGTGTCACATGTTTATGAGAGATAAACATCAATCTATCTGTCTTCTAACCACCATGACCATCGGTTTCCATAGAACTGAGCCATGTGCCAGCCAGAGGAGAAGCTCTGGCTCTGAACTGCAGGTACATACACACATGAGACTTTAGATGAGGTTTGATAATATGTAACATACGTGTGTTTGCACACAGATAAGATAATGGATACCAAGTAGCCTGTAGCTAATGAAACTATAACAGCTTTCAGATGAACAACTTGTTGGACAGTTGACTTGACTAACATTAAACGACCATAACCACATTACAATTTAAACACATGTTTACCTTCGCATCTCCTCTATATCTTCACCGAGTTTGGAAACCTGTGCTGACGCTTATCTACTGCCCGCAGCAGCCACTACTACCGCCTTGAAACTGTATCGGTCGGGCGCCATGTTGGCTCAAATCGGCCCTTGAGCTTAATTCACTTGCGCTTCCCGTTAGAACCACAATGGCGTCCTTTTCCTCGACTTAACGGGGACACGTCTCCTTCAGAGTCAGAGCGGTTCATCCGTTTGCCTGTGAATTAAAGTGAAAGTAAATGTCTACATTTAATTCTTTATATTAATATATTTTTAAATAGTGAATTTAGTGAGTGTCTGGTGAAGATAAGCTCTGAAGTTATCGTCTGTATCATTGTTTTTTGTGTTGGAAGCGGTCAGCCCGCTCAGGCATATGTTCGGTCGCCCTCGCTGGTCTTGTGTTTTGCAGTCGTGTCCTTTTCAGACGATCCTCAGCCCTGTGGACTCTCTTCTTAAGTTTT